TTTTTAATGATCGTTGAAAGCCCAGATCGTAATCGAGATTAAAATTCGATTAATTGAGCAGCCCTACTTCCAAGTACTGATTAACTGTGCTTCTATGAATTGAGTCAATACAAATACAAAAGGGCTGTAGACACAGTCACATATACCCAGCAACCACATTCCAATAATGAGCTCGTAGATAGAGTTCAGACAAACACTTGAGGTTGGAGAAGCATGCACAGAAGCTCAGCTTAAAGCACCAAAGTGAGTGACAGCACAGCATTGGTCACTATAAATATACATGAACCTGTTTACCAGTTGGGCCCAACCTCTAACACTATGTTTGCTTCTGTCTCAAATTTCAACGTCTCACTCTCTATGAAATGGCAATGGGCCAGTGGCTGATGGGTAACCAAGTGACAAGTATACAACTTCAAATATGCCCAAGTCTTCACATCCAGCAGCAAAAAATCTAACAGATAAAACCAACATCCCTGTGATGCAACATCCTGTGAGAGTCGTTCACTGTCTTAGAAAGGTATGAAGAGATCTGAGAAAGTGAGCTGTGAGCAGCTTGTGTCCAAATAAGCACAGCTCTGCGTGCTGTATCTTCACTAGGTGAGTCATAGCTTTTGAGAACAATCGAAGCCCTCGCCACTCTGACGTGTCGAGTTAATTGAGGCAGCCGCTGCTGGTCAGTCAGCGAGCACGCCCCTGTTCGTCGTCACAATGAAATGAAACATTTACCCAGATCGCCACAGAACTTATGCTGGATCTGGAGTAAATAAACTGAGGCAAGACAAACTCAACAGTTCCCAGAGTTCGGATACAGTTGCAGGCAGTGACTCAAACAGGAGTTTATTTACATGGAAATGTGCTCTGTAATTCTGCTTTGATGTTGACAACTGCCAGAAAGGCGGTATGAGAGCTCAGCAATACACTATATTAAATTTAGATTTGTGAACAAGAAATTTATCTCAGCTTCTCAGCAGTGGGGCTATAAGTTAACCACCCTTATATTTTAACCATGCTGTACATCACACACTACTCTAAAGGATCTAAAGCCTTTCAATTTAAAATGATCCTGAATATACCTGATCCTCGTTTTTAAAATCTAAGCCACAGACATAAATCACACATAGCTTCAAAGACTGGAGTACTGCAATCACTCAAAGTTGTGCAGTAGACCTTGAAAAACATAGCTGAAGGAATAATTATCCTCTTAATTTCCTCAAGCACAGAATCCTCTCAGCCCAACAAGACAACAAAAGCTAGTGACATTTCAAGGCCATCTCATCACGCTTCCACAAGGTTTTATCTTCAGAGAAATGCAACCCACCCAGTTTGGGAAAGACAATGAGGTATTCTGCATTGCACTGTGGGCAGGCTACGCGTGCTGTGCTGTTGCCTCGCTGTTTCTCGTCCACCCAGCGTTGCAGGCAGGTCTGGTGAACCCACTTGGTGGAGCCGCGGCAGCGACACGGGCGAACCCACTCTGCCGTGCGGTCATCTTCGTCCGTGGCAAAGCACACCCAGCAGCTCCTAAAACAAACACACACGCCCAAATTCAGGATGAGACACTGAAACAAACATGGCTGCAAAAAATTTAATAAAAATACTAGCAGCCACCAGCTGTACCCCTCAGTCTCCTAGTAGACAAACTTATGCCATTCATTTCAAAATCGTACGTCACCTTGTTCTCAAGTTATCGCATCCACAAGATTTTCAGAAAACTTACTCTGACCTTGAGGTGAAGGTCACTGAGATTTGAACTCGTGTGAGATTTTTAGTAGATACACACCTATGGTATCTATTCGAATCTCTTACATCACCTCATTCTCTGCGCCCCATCAGCCTTGTACAGCTGAAGGGTAAAAGAAAGACATGGTTGTAAATAGAGCTGCAAATATTGATTATTTTAGTAATCGAGTAATCTTATAATCTAATAATTCAGTGTCCAACCTAACAACCCTCAGGTCAGTGGCTCAGAGTTTAATGGCTAATGGTTTGGGGGTTTTTGGTTTGTGAAAAAAACGTTTGTGTTTTTACATTTTTAAATATTAATGCAATTTAATGAATACAATGTTTTATAATATTTCACTTTTAATCTGAAAAATGTTACAAAAGTCTTGAAATTAATATAGTCTAGTACACCCTGTGCCCCCCTTTAGACTCACCCCTGTTTGCTGCAGGTATCTCATGTAAAATAGGACGGCTGCTGTCAGCCTTCATTAAGCTGTATCATTTAAACACGCTATCAGACCAAGTTATCAGTTCATCTGCATATTTTAATACAGCTTCTGGAGACTTGGTGCAGATTTTTCTCTGTGTAAAACAAACGGCAGATGATGGATCAGCTACAAAGTGCTTTGATGAAGGACTCCTGCTAGCTCTTTCCCAGTAATGGTTTCAATGGTGATTATAGGAACAGAGTTGTTGTTGTTTTAGATGCTAGAAACAGGTTTTCCTTCACTCAACCTGTCAAGACTTTTTATTGACTTCTCCTAAATACGTTTGCATTACAGGTTTGTTTTTAGTCGGGTGAAAGGCTCATGTTTACATTATTTAACACACATTTAAAGCATCGAAACAAAGAATTTGTGTTGAGAATTTTTTGCAATCAAATTATTTGAAATACTCAAATTGTTGCAGCTCTAAAAGTAACAACAATTTATCACAACTGAATGTATGATTTAAAAATAGAAAAACTGATTAGATGTGGCTTCATAATTGTGACTGGTACAAGAGACAAAATGACCAGAGTCTATGCTGAATGAAAGCTAGGATTACATTTAAGTGAACAAAACAACTGAGGCGTCACTATACAGACGAGGTGAGCCCATGCAATGAAATCAACTGAGACAAAGTTAGAATATCTTGCATCTGACAATTAACAGGCTTAAAGTTATGGAGCTGTATGTGTGTGGTTGATGAGAGAAGAGTAAAAGACATCAATTGAAACCAAAGTAACCTTTCACCTTTAAGAGAAAATCTGCACTTAGCAACAAAAACTATTGTGATTCAGTTTTTGAGCCGATGAGACTTATTTGGACTTCTCACCGAGTGTTACCACAGTCGTTTTCAGCATTCACACAAAGCTGATAGAAGTAGTTAATAAAGTCTTTCTTACAAGTGTACATTGAGTGGCCTTGATGAACACACCCGCACAAACAGCATTGCTCTGTGTTGGTGTCTCTACATGAAATCAGCCGATCAATACATAAACCCTATAGGCAAACAAGCTGCAATGCTGACTGAATCAAGCATATCTGACAGGAAGTGTTCAATGGACACACAGCAGCTCAAACAAACAGGCCCTTCACCCTGCCATTAGAATACAAGACAATTTCCAAGGGATTGCATTTCAGATCACATCAGTGTCAACTTCCTTTTCTAACAAGCATTGGTAAAAGAAGCAGCCTATGCTCCACATATACCGATTCTCTACTTCCGTAGTATTATTATTATATACTAGTCTGACTTTGACGCCAGTATTATTCACAATGCTACTCATACACTGAATCAACAGGTCAGTGTTCATTTTGACAGCTGATTTTATTTTAATTCTTTTTAGTTTTACTCAAACTATAGTATTATTATCCTAAGTCTAAAGTGATTCAGTTGACTAAAATATAAAGTGTAAAAGCTTGTTGTGTTTTTACTGGTGAGAGTGAATCCACACAGTTTACAAAGCATCTTATATTCCTTGACTTCAAATGTGAAATGTGGGTATATCTCCACTCTTCTCTTCCTCCCCAAGCTTGTCTTGTTGTTGTTGTGAGAGAAAAAAAAAGGTCATTGATGAAAACTATGACAACGTAATTCAAGCCAAACCACATTTTATCCCGTGACATCTTCCTTCCCTGTTCCCTTACATACAGAGATGGGAGTAAACCTTCTCTTTACTTAAAAAGCGCTGTACCTCTTAGGAAGGTTCTGCCGGTCTTTTACAACCTTACCCTCCTCCACTGCAAAGCAACGCCACATGTGCAAGACAATTTGATATCGAACTTCCCTGACCTTACCAAAGCACATCTCCTAGTGTGACATATTGCATTTCCATAATTAATCAGCAACGTGCGACTGGCTGGATGGGTCACCACCAGGGTGTCTCACTGCATATAGCTCAGTTTGAGAATCCGCAGAACCTCACTTCAGCTGCCATCAACTCATGAAAACCTTCACAGGTTAGATCTGAATAATTGATGTAAGTAAATCAACAGCATGTCTAGAGTCTCGACTCCGCCAAGCTCAAGGGAGTTCTACTGGTTCTCCGGTTGCAACAGTATACTGGTTTTCAAGTATTAATATGATATGAAACTTGATGGCTATCATACCATGAACATTTGCCTATGAACAGTATCTTGCTGTGCGCATCTCCTTTCCTCATTGACAACCTGTCAGACAACTTGCGCCACACATGCACATCCGGAGGAGAAATGTCAGCAAGAAACAAAACTGATGCCACCGATCTGCACTGTCCGCCTGAAAAGAACCTAAAAGCAGAGTGCAATTACTTTAGATATCCCAAAATAATCAGCTCTCGTGGATTTGTTTATCGGGGGGGGCCTTCCAAGTTACTCATCTGTGTAATACTGTGATACTGTCTGGGGTACATATCATATCATCAAAATATACTGATTATGGTTTTCTAATCATCCATCCATCCATCCACTTCCACTTATCCTTTTCAGGGTCGCAGGAGGGCTGAGTCTATTCCAGCTGTCTTAGAGCGAGAGGCAGGGTACATCCTGGACAGGTTGCCATTCTGTCGCAGAGCTAACAGATAGACAAAGACTTCTATTTGGCAGTTTGCAGAAATGAAGGAAAACCACTTAAAAATGTGGTTTTGAAAACTTAAAAATGTTTTAAATTTAGGGTTTTTTTAAAACTAGCCTGTTGCTAGGCGATCCACTGGTTTGGTAGCTGACTGCTGCCTGTGACCCATTTGTGTGTGAGATTTATGATCTCATTTTCATAATTACTCTGAACCTTGAACAGCTGGCATTTCACTGGATGAATGAAAAAATTATTAGTCTACACACACCTCCCATAAATCTCTGGCATACACACAGTAGAAAAACACTGATTAAGAACCCCCCCTTCCCACCCATAGTTTGTGATGATCTAATTTTGGTATCATTCACATTATGAATTATTTTGTGCTCAGAATTCTAGCAGATTACTATTCCAAAGGTCAACCCAACAGTAAGACACCTAACCAAAGCACACCGCAGAAGAAGGTGCCTTTGTCTGACCTGCTGTAGCTACAGTTTACTCTTCCATTTCCTGTTTTTAAACCACAGGTATAACAGGAACAGGGAAAACCTCTTTACTTTCACAAGGAAGTAAAAAATGTTTCTTACACCAGGAATTTTAGAAATACCCCCCCACCCCAGCTCCATTTGTTGAATCCCTTCATGGCATGCAGAAGTACTATTTAAAAAAAAAAAAAAAAAAAGAACCTCATTGCATGCATTGCAGGGATGAAGCATGGAAACAATTTGGTGACTTTCCTTAACTTTAGTCAAGAGAGGGGAAAAAGAAAAACTGGTTAGCTCAGAGCGACATTCTCCTTGTTGACCACCACTAGCAACACTCAGCATATCCCTATGTAACACCATAATGGATGCCAAATCTGTAGACTCCCACCACCATACTGAGAGCTAGATGTGCTCCATTACTGGGGCCACAGCAAAGTATTGGGGGGAGGGGGGGGGTCCTCTGTCAAAGACAGCATGACCAACATTTGAATTATTTGCTCAGGTAGCTACCTCCAATGAATTATTTGTCAATACTCCCCTGGTGTTGAATAAAATATGACAACGCAGGAGAGGACACTCCAGGTCGAGGTGATCAGATGACATGTCAGTGAGAATGTGTGGTGTGATGGAAACATCACCCCCCATTCAAGATCATATCTACAGTCTTTACTGCGGTTCACCCTATAGCTGACCCCTCCCTATGTATGTGTACTGGCATCATACTCAATTTAATTCAAATAGGGTTCTCGCGTTGATCTACAATGCAAAACTGAAAAAAACAAATATAAAAAATGCATCATAGGAATCTATGTGCGACACCACAGGATCTTCAAAGACACTGCAGACTGAAAATGAGGCTGCCGTTTAAAAAAAAAAAAAAGTGATGATGAGATGCCGAGTAGAACGGTGGACAGACGTCTCCACAGAAACACGACAGCGGAGAACAAAACCCAGCTCTACCTTAGATTCACTGGCTCTTGTTCCTGTAACCCAGCCCCAGAGCATGACAGAACCTATTACAACAGCAGTGAAACACTATCTTCTGTGCGAAACCTTAATCTCTGGCTTGCCGTCGCCTCAGCCCTGTTTAACAGAACAGTCAGCCAGATAAGCCAAAATGACGACTGCATACTGAGAAATCCTGTGCAGTCTGATATATTAAAAAAAAACAAAACAGGCTTGTATATCAGAATGCAACAATTTTCTAAATATCTTAACCCTATATGCAATGAAAAGATCAATTTTAAATGTTGAAACGATGATGCAAAATCTGCAGAT